TTCAAATCTTAAATTCACTGCACGATTTGCATACCGAAATATCAGATTAACTGTAATCAAAAAAGGAAAAAAAAAAACACGCATACACACAGATGAAATTTATAGTAAGAAATCAGAACTTAGTCTGATTTTCTCGATATCAGAAGAATTTATAACATGAACAGTACAAAACGTATTAAAAACTCTCACGAACCCGATTTTGTCAATATCAACATAGGTAGTGTCAACAGGCGAAGACATCCGTATATCAACTGATCCTTGACTTGGCTCATATTCACTGAGATCCTCGCTGTAGTTTGCGCCGACCGAATTAGTGGTTGCCTTAAACATTAAATTTAAAAAGCTCGGAGTCAAATTCGATTAAAAAAAGACTGCCACAACGCAGAGCAAAATTTTTCAAAATTCTATTGGTTTTCCGGGAAAAAAAATGACAAGATCCTCTTCTGAAAATCTAAAAACTTATTTTAAACATAAAACGAGCAATAAATTAAGTATGTAACTGAGCTAAGAGGTATATGACTTAATGAACCGAAACGTCTTAATTCAACTGTTTTTTCCTACCATTTTTTCCTCTGCTTATACACTTCCCTTACTTTGGCACCCATCAACACGGATGCTACAAACGGCTTAGAGAGCGGCGCGCCAGCCTTGTCGATACGAATATGCATTTTTTGCATAGCTTTCCATGCAAACTTCACTAACTAGTAGTGTTTTTTTTTTTGACACGTCGTCATAATTAACACAAGAATTTCTAACAAACAGAACCAAGAGAGATGCTCACAAAATTTCAGTATTCCAACTGCTTTTGTTCTGGAATTACAAAGTTGTCTGCTTCAGATTTTGTGTGCCCGTACATGAGATGTGGAGGGGCGAAAGCTCAACTTATTTTCCTGAGCAAATAAGTGGACACCAAACAGAATCGTAAAATTTTCGAGTGTCCTAATCTAATTTTTTTGTTGACTGAGCGCTAGTCTGAACTTTGACGTGTACACACGTGAAGCTTAGGGTTGCGTGAAGACTGAATTTGAATTTTTTGGGTCACAGATGGGCGGGGAACCCGGACAAATGTTAACACACGGACAATGCGCGTTTTGCATCTATCTGTGCGACATATTAATTCATGAAATAGACTATACAAACATGTGCATTTGATTGCATTTGATTTGCATATGCATTTGATCGAATCCACGTACCAGGCTTGTCGGTGCAAACATGCATTTTCACGCTAAAATTGAAGCAGTCAGACCGATAACAACATGGACGGTTCTTGTGTTACAGCTTACCAAATGGACTTATGCCAGCTGTGTTTCGGCTTTTTCATACATGCAAGAGAAAAAGGAAGTCGGTCAGGATGGTAATATTGCATCATTGGCCGTATTAGACGCCACCAAGCTATCAGTCTTGTACGAAGAAAAATGAAGTTTCCGGTGACTGGTCGTTCATCAGAAAAAGGGAAACTAAACGGTGAACAGAATGTCGAGGAAGAATTACGGGATCTGCAAAATATATTCGCTTTTGAGGTTGCGATAAAACTGTTTTTCAAGCCACCTGCAAGGAATTTAGTCTCCAAGCTGAAATCCAACTGTATGCGAATACAGAATATCATTGCAATGTTTCAGTCTTGCAGTATTTCCACTAGGCGAAACCGCCGCTTCACTACAAATATTAATACCTTAGACGTACTTACGAATGGTGTAAGTGAAAACTGAAACTCGATTTAGGTATAAGATTTCCCGGTGGGACGATAAAAATTCTGGCAAATTCACAGTTGTTTTCCAACTTTTGAGCTTACGCAACACCTACTTGCAAACTTTGACGTGACCGTACGGGTAACATAAGCGTGCACGATAACTGAGTTTGAAATCACCCGCTAGAATACGGACAGAGAATATCCACACAAAGAAAGAACGTCCATTCCAGATTTCTGCGTTTTACGGCTAACGAAGTCGTTTTCCCGCCAAAACATATTTTTTTAAAAGATTTGCACATAAGATTTAAGCGCGGACGAGAGACGATTTTAAAACGGGAGGTGATGCACGGGTGGAAATATGCTCCCAAAATTTCAGCCTTTCAGCTCTCCCCATTGCTAAGATGAAAATGGGTGACAAAGTTCACTCGTTTTTTCGAAAAGACACATGCATACTGAGATTCTCGACAATATGCGTTTTGGCATTTGCATAAAATGGAAAAACTAAAACACGAAAGGAATTGGACTGCAGGCTAAATTAAAGTGGAGGAAATCGAAAACTTACTGTCTGAGAGTCATGGTCGACCACAACCAACTGCGGCAGACTGTTTTCTGAGAATCGAAATATAAAGGACTCGTTGCCGCGCTTCCAACTTGTTGCTGTATCAAAACCGACCAATGTTGTATCGATACGAACACTCGAACCGCGTTTGTATATCTTCAAA